TGATACGGTTGATTTGGGTGGAAATTTAGCACTAAGAGCGCCTGAGGTAAATTTTCATTCTAATTTCCGACCAGTTTTGGATTTGCGTAGTTGTTGAAATAATACACTTCATAGTTTAATTTATGAATCTTCAGATACGCTGCGCTCGGCCCGATCCCGATCACTGGGTGGATTTCCGGATGGCCGATTTATGGGCAGCGGCAACTATCGGATATGAAATATTTACGAGGTAGGATCAGCCTAGATCGTTTTAAATTCCGTGTGCGTATGTCGAGTTCTGACTGATTTTGGAATATTTGGGTGCAGAATGTATGTAACAAACGAGATGGTATTACAATTGTTCGTTTTGCTCGAGAAAAGTATATCTAAAGATGGTCATTGAGAAATAGCCCTTACTTAGCACTCAGCACGAGTGGGAGGTATCTTGAACGGAGCCATTTCTCAAAAGTCGTTCTGACCCGGTAAGGGGTCGAACCACTCCTCTTCACGTCCGGACGCAACGTATTACCACTACGCCATCGGTTACTGTTCCGCAGGTCCAGTCCGGCAGCACATCTACTGTGTATCTGCTTTTCATATTGATATATACCTTTCTTCCCTTTTTCTTTTTGGGGTTCGTTGGTTGGATTTTGGCGGGTTTTTCGTGGCATTTCCCACCGTTTATCGTTATGTATCTTTTATATATTATTTTGGATGAAATTCCGGGAATTTGGCCTTTGATTTTTTTTTCTCATATATTTGAATTATCGTAGTGTGGGCTGCTAAGGGCAATGATATCTTAATATCTTTTTTTGCAGAATTAATCCGTTCTATAGTCGAATGCGAAGTGACCAGTATGCAGAATTTGAGCTGCCTTCATTACCAAAGAAAGTGCATTATGCAGTCAAAGCACTCATTGCGGATATGTTACGCATTGATCCAAATCAGGCATGATTACTTTGATACTTCTAATTTCATTTGCTAGGAAAATCGTTGATCCGGTAACCTTCCTAGGAGGCAGAACAGGAGTTAGGATCGCCAGCAAGTTGACCAGTATTTACTCGAAGCAGTTAGAAAGTTACTTAATTATAAAGCTGGAGAAAAGGATGAATTAATCCGTTTTAAATCGCATGCCATTTAATCCCAGCACTCTTCCTTGCCATCGATGCATGTCCTTTCTCCTATTTTTTTTCCTCACAGTCATGCAAATCCATACGAAGGCGTATGGATTTGCATGACTGTGAAATAGATCCTTCCATCGCATTTGTAACTTTTCTTTTGGTTATGAAACATTGCATGAATACCATTTAGCAGTCCATTATATGCATTTGTGATTTTTTCCAAATTATGCATTTTTTTTGATTTCCAGAGGCCAAATCCACATGTTGCGGCAAATGTTCTCAGCATATCACTGTTCCGTTTTGGTGATGATTTGCGCAAGTTCTTCTACAGCTCAGGCTTCGATGAAACTCTTTTTGGCAAACCAATTATTGATTTGACTCGTGCTTCAAGCAGAACCTTAAAAATGGTATACTTTTCTGAAATTTCTCAGTCGGAGGCGTTTTGGAGTTTGTGTTTTGGAATTTCAAAGAAAATTTTTGTTCTAGCTTTGATTTTTTTTCCTTTTTTTACTTTGCTCTTGAGCGATTAGATAACTTTCGTCAGCACTTGGTTAGTTCAAACAATATTTTTTTGGATTAGAGCTTCAGCAGCACAAGAGTGACTTTATCTTGAGCGATTTTAGTCTAGTAACAGCCAGTGACCTCTTTTCACTTGTCCGAATTTTTGCCATATGAATTGACTTTTGTACAATGCCTTGACCTATTTGGCTGTTAGATCTTTATTATATATAAAAAAAAATTTCAGAATTTCAGAAATTTTAAAATTTCAAAAATTTTTTATCCGCTTGGATAATCTTTGCAGTTCTTATGTTTTGAAGCACATGTTTTTTTTTTTTTTTTTGCATTTTAGCTCGGGCAAAAGATGATTGCTGCTCTCAATGGTTTTACGATGTTGTTTGCGGCAGAAACCATACTGGCTCGGAATATCCATCCAAGGACGATAAGCGCTGCGGAATTACAGGTAATACCCAAAGCTTGCATTGTAGATTTGGGTATTTGTAAATTCAAAAACAGGTAGGAATAATTGGACTTTATTACTGGGCATGTAAAAGACGGGTAAGTGTATTACAAAAAATGCATCGGACACACACATGAACACACGCGCACATACAGACACATGCACACACACACACACACACACAACTCCGTGACAATATGCGTTTTGTGTAGCTGTTGTACAGCACAAAACGCATAATAGTCGTTGTAACTTGAACAGCAGCTCCAGAATGAAGAAGCCCTCTTAATTGTGGTCAAATCGGCAAAACTCATCTGGAAGTATGCGTGCTAAATGATTGCCATAAAATTTAATATTTTCTAAAATAAGAAAAAACCTTAAGAACAATCTGTGGTGGCTTTTACGAAGTTAATTTTCATAACTTCCGTTTGAAGAGACTTTCATATTTTGGGGTTTTGAAATCTTTTTTTTTCAAATTTTTTATTAAGTCTTTTTTTTCGGATTTCTTTTGTTAAGTTTTTTGAGATTTTTTTTGTTAAGTCTCGCAGAGTACCATCTTATATTAATAAAGTGTGGTTTTTCTTGGTAAGAGTCAATTTTTTTTATCGAAAAATGACCTTTCAAATAAATTTTCGACACATATTTCAAATGGCACTTGTTTTTTTACTTTTTTATATTCTTTTTTTAATATTTTGTCTGCTAATTGAACGGTATCGAAAAATTTATCATTAAAAAAACCGGGGTTTTTTTTTCCAGTTACGAGCCACATTTCTGTCACGTTTGGATCAAGAGCATATCTGGTCAGCACTGAACTATTTCTCTCCGGATAACGAGGAACCACCGCCGAGCAAAGTTTATCGTTCCGATAAAATTACGAACACAATGCTTGCACCAAATGATTTCCCATCGTCCGTTAACACTCTTATCACCGCCAACAACCTTATCATTTGTTAAAATCAGCAGGCTCAAATATTACGCTGTTGATTAAACTGTACAAAATTGGATGTTTTTGCTTCTGATGTATTTTTAATTTTATGCTTTTATTTTCAAAGTTGTCGAGGAAGTCTAGGATAGTTAGTGATTGTCGGATTTTTAAGTTTTTTCGTTTTTTTAAAATATATTTTTATTAAGTTTTTCACTTTTTTTGTATGTAAAGAATCCATCCAGAAAAGTTCCAGCCTTTTTTTCTAGTGAAAAAAAAATTCATGGAAAGGAGTTTAAAGCTGTTTGCGGTGGGTGCCTACTCTGAACATTTTCCAAATATTGAGGAGTGCCAAAATGTACGAATATCCTAGTAATTTTGTGCAAACAAGAGGATTATTGAACGGTACCCGCGTAAAATTTGAGCAGGATAGGGGATGGTGCCCGCCGGGTAAAAGGGTCCATTTAAATGGTGTATGGAATTATGTGGATGAGAGAGGCCTAAATTTGGAAAAAATTGGAGAAATTGCTAGCTGCATCAATGACGTGGAAAAAAAAAACACGAGGATCAAACAACTGATGATCAAGCATCAAAGTAAATGAGAAGTGAATGAGATTTTGTGAAAGGCAAAAAAATGTTTTGAAATTTTCTTGCTTTTGGAAAAATGTGATAACTTTGACCGGAAAATTTGATTCGGTGATTTTGAAAAAATTTGATAAAGGTTTGGTGTAGGATCGCAGTATTGATGAAAGACGGGCCACTTTTTTCTCGAGCTGTATTTTGTTAATTTTTACCCACTGTGCTTATTACTTAAGGGTTGTACTTTTTGAAGGAGGACAGAGGGAGGACGAGGAAAACTCCATGCATCAACACTTTTTTTTAAGTACTATTTGGTGTGGATAAAGTGTAATTCTGTTATTACACTGCTGTATTGCATTTCGAAAATTTTATAGCTTTTTTTTTGATTTCGGCATCTTGTTATTTTATAAAAATACGATAAAATCAAATAATAATATCGTGGTATTTTTGATATAAAAGGGGATGCAAAAAATGCCAAGACTTAGGAAATGTTATTGCCAAAATTTGACCTTTTTGCTCTTTTTTTTGTAATAATAACTTTTGCTGTAAATATTGCTTTTCTGGGCTCACCATTCGTCTTCTTTGTGTCGTAATCACCTGATCTTCCTTTTTTGTGCCATTTACGGATATTTGTACAATTATTTTTGACTGTTCTGATTTTATTTATGCTTTTTTGTGCTTAAAATTTCCGTAGATTTGGTTTAGCTTTTTTATCAAATGTGTTCGTGAAATGACATCTGTTCAGACTATCAAATTAGATATCCTTTACTTAAATATTTTTCGTATATTTATCGGTTTTCAAGTTCGCATCTTGACTATGTTGTACATATCGTTTTTTCCGTTTCAAAAATCATCTTATAACAATAGATGCGCAGGACTGAAGGGTCTGCTTAACCACGTTTGGCGTGCGGGAGCATCTCAGTAAAATCACTAACACGGGATACCAGTATTGATTCTCCAAGCGATCTTGGTATTTTTGGTAGTAGTGCGCG